ATATATATATATATATATATATATATATATATATATATATATATATATTGGGAGAAATGAAACTGAGAAAGACCAATAAAGAGATTCTGGTCCAAGACACCCAAGACATTTGTTCGTACATCCCGGAACGAAAAAAACACAAGAAAAGGTTAACCTTGCAAACGAACAACAACGGGGACTTTCAATTGAAGTTCACTGATAGCAGTGATCATACCCTGCGCAATGACATCACAACGCATGATACCACCAAAGATATTCACAAGGATTGCGTTGACCTAAAACAAAACAAAACATGCATTACAAAATTTAAGCCATGAATTTCACTAAATTCCTATAAATTGTCTTCTATCTTATTGAAATTTTTTGGAAAAGAAATAATAGATGGGAAATTTTTCCAACTTCTAATTAGAAACATAAAAAACCATCTACTTTATCTTTATCTGCAGTGATGATACGAAAAGCCTCAGCAACTTGCTCAGCGGTAGCACCACCTCCAACGTCAAGGAAATTCGCTGGATCGCCGCCATGAAGTTTGATAATATCCATAGTTGCCATCGCTAACCCAGCTCCATTCACTGAAATTTGCATAATTCAATAGAAATTCGCCGTGAACTTCGCATTAAAAGCATCAAAATTTCTAGCAATCCTCTAAATCCCTAACTGAGGTGAAATAATTATCAAATTTTTAGGAAAAGAAAACCTTACCCATACAGCCTATGTTACCGTCCAGTCGAATATAATTAAGATCAGCTTTTGCCGCACGTGATTCCAGAGGATCCTGTTGCTGTTTATCTTCCATAGCAAATAATTCTGCTTGTCGATAACTCGCATTTGAATCAATATTCAACTTACAATCCAAACAGTAAACTTGAAAGAAAAGAAGTTAAATTAAAAAAGTTGATGAAAATTCTTGAAGATAAATCTACTGCTGATAAATTTCAACAAGTGAAAAACAAAAATCATAAAGTTCACCAAAACCGTTTGAACAATCACCGTTTTGTTCTTACTTTAAAACGATGAAATTTGGTTTATGCATGTGAAACGAGATGGTTTATGTATGTGTTTGTTATCCGGAGTTGAAAAGCTTCTAATACTGAACAAAAACATAAACTGATTCGTTTGGTCAAAATTTGCCTGCCATAAAGGCTCTCCCTAGCATAATACACTATTTCGATGAATAATAAACAACATCGCAATGAATGTCCAAAAGATGGCTAGAAATTCAAGATTTAATTAAAACTAACGTTTTCCATTGATATCTTCCGCCATTGGATTAATCTCAATAAGTGTCGCATCATATTTAATAAATAAATTGTATAGCTTTTTAAAAATATTCGCTGCCTGTATCTTGAGGTCATCCTGAAAATCTCAATCAATAATTTTAAAGCCTCATTAAATCAAACAAAATTAGCTGAAGAGCGATATAATCCGACATGCTCATTTTCTACTTTATATTCTAATATATTGTTCTGTTGCTCACTGTGCACTAAAAAGCTTTCTATAATCTTGGTGACGGAGACAAGATAATCAATATCTGAGCTTTCGTTCAAATGCGAGACCTGTACAAAATTAGTTTTTGGTTTGCTAATGCGTCCGCCCGTTTCGATTGTAGATAAGTGAAATCAAAGTGCTTTTTTGACTTGGAAAATACAAGGAAAAAACCTTGAAACCCATACGATCGGCTATTGAGCTGGCTTCTGCATCTTTCATGCCGTCAAATATATCAATTGGACATTTAACGATAGCCTTCGGGTCTTTTGCAGCTACTTCTTCAATGTTAACGCCACCTTTCGACGATCCTATAGCTACTGGACCCTGTAATAATGTCTATTTTGCTTATAAAAAGGAGAAAACATCAGCAATAAGAGCCATGGATAAGCAGGAATAAAAAGGCAAAGTACTTCGAAAAAATGGACAGATGCGCAGGAAGAGAACTGAAAAAATTATACATTCAATAAAAACGAAAGGAGAGAGAAAAGTATAAATTAAAGAGAGGAAGAAAAATGAAGAATAAGAGAAAAATCAAGCTTGTATTCAAAAAAAGAAATGCAAGATTCATAATATGAACTTACTCCGGTATGCCGATCCATTGTAATGGAAAAGTAGAATTCTCGCCGTGTAAACAATCGCTTGCAAATCATTACTTCATCACAAAGTTTACCAGACGCACCTGTTTGTTTGGTAAAAATTTTCGAACCCAACATCATTGATGCTTTCTCACGTGCTTCTTCAGGACTAGAAAATTATGCATGGTACGCTAAGAGTACGAAATGATAAAGCCAAATAAATTTCATGCCCTATCACTTCTTTTTTCTAAAAGAAGCTAAAAGGAACTTACGAAAAAACGAGTTGTACACCACCTTCCAAGCCTGACTCAAAATATCCCTTTCCTCGTCCACCCGTTAGTACTTGAGCTTTTACAACAAGATCTTTACCACCTGCAATTATACAGCATTGAACGACGATATATCTCAATTTTACAGATAGGCATTATTTTAATTCCTTACCAAACAGTCATTCATTCCAATCAATACAGTCAATTCATTTCAACCATTACAGGCAAATTACTGACAAAAAGTTCAATGCAGCATATTTTAGAAGAACAATCTCGAAGTTATCTCACAAAGCATTCTGTTATTGGGCAGCTAACTGAGCAACACAAAATTTTTTTGAAAAAAAAACCTCCAATAAACACAAAAGTGAAAAAAATTATGCCAAATTATGGTATAATTTTTGCATTTTGTTCACCGGATGTTAGTAAATTATATGAAAACCTTTCAGTTTTGAATACACAAACTTACCAATTTTTCGAGCTTCATTATATAATTCATCAGCGCTTCGAGAAACACCAAATGGTGCAACAGGTATGTCAGCCTGTTTAAGCAACGATATACCTTGATGTTCTTTAAGACTTAGCTTGCGTATAGCCGGTGCCAAAGCCTGCAGGAAACGATAAAAGACAATTAAAATGATCCACGACAACATATCGAATAATTGTTGAATTGGACATCTATAGGACCATTTTAAAACAAGTCCCCACTCTATTCTTTAGGTCAGTTGACCGTAAAGTTTGGGGAACTTCCGTAAGACCAAACATTCTTCAAGACTACACTTTTACAGCGATTAATGACAGGTCTCAAAGATTCACACTTGCAAGATATCAAACTTTACTTTAAGTTAGTTAATCTATGCGCTTCTCCCTTTTTTTTAATCTTGTATTGAACATTTAGTGAAAATAGAAAAAAAATGCACAGAATTAAACCTTATAAGTTTTCAAAAACAACTTATCTCGACCAAACATTCTTAACGCCACCGATGAGTATGTGAGAATAAAAATCAATCTGAAAAAACAAGATATGCAGGAAGTATAACGAACGAATAGATCACTTTATTTTATTAGATCAATTAAAATATTGCAAGAATTGGGAATGGTCTCTTTTATGGAATAAAAGAATAGTAGTAAAACTACCATACACTAATTAATTTCAACAATATCCGTAGAAATCATCGAGGAATCACTGAACAGTAGAAAGCAATCAAATCAGATGCAATATATTAACTAATGTAAAGCATTCATAGCAAATGACTATAAGGCTCATTTAATTAATAAAATATTTGCCTGTGCATTCCCATCCTGCATTTAATATGCTAAGTTTCAGAGGCAAAAAACTGAGTAAATTCATACAGTACGTTGGCCAAAGTTGGCCAATAGACCAATCCTAGCCAAAGACTGGCTTATAGGCTACAAAAACGAGGCTAATCCCAACAACCTTCTCGAACCAACGTATTAAATCACCCCACTACCTACCACTTCAATTAAACATGCCTGCAATGTGGTATTGCAAGACATCCGTTTACATTATGCAACACATTTCCCAGATTTCATACTGTAACAGATGCACAATCTGTAAATCATGAAATATTCATCACCCCGGGAAACAAGAATAATGATAGTAATAGCAATGACATTTACAATAAAAGCAATAGGAATAACTACAACAACGACAATAACAACAACAACAATAACAACAACAGCGACAATAATAACAACAACAACAACAACAGCAACAACAGCAGCAGCAACAACAACAACAACAACAACAACAACAACAACATCAACAAC